GGGGCTCGGTGTGGTGGCCATGGTGAGGCAGCGTGCAGGAATCTCGCATCATGGCCACGGGGCGGCGGCTCCAGGCAGGTGTGTTGCGGTGTGATGCACGGTCGGTGCTCTACTATGGGACGGTGAGCGGCGATTCAACTGACGCTTGATGCTGCGGTGAGCAGCAGCGAAGGCCCTGGGCATGTTAGACCGTGTGGCCGTACGACCACAGATGGTGGTCTGCAACAAGCCCCCCCCCGCCCTCCTAGTTGTGCCCTCCTCATCCTGGTGGCGCCTTCTGGTGACGTGGTCTCGGAGCATGCGGCCTTGGCCCTCTGCCTCCGGTTGGCGGACCTCCCACCCCGGCATGGGCTTGTTGCGGGTTTGGTGCTTAGCGTAGCTACGAGAGGCGATGTTGGTGGCTTCGCTGATGGGAGTGGAGGATGCCAGGGTAGCAGCCACGGACGTTGCTTCTAAGATCTGTGAAGGTAGAGACCAGGAAGGGGTGGGAGGAGGGGGGTCAGAATGCATCACGGTGGTGGTTCTATGTGGGGGAGCTATGCCACGATGCCTTTAGGGTGATCGTTCGGGCTGCTAGGGCGGTTGGAGGTCGCCCTAGGTCTTGGTGCACGGTACGGTTGTGGTTTCTGATTTATCGACCAGTGGGCTGCGAGACGGTCAGTTCGCGAGGCGTTGCCGTGTGGGCGGTGGATGTCAGGGTGGTGAAGTAGGATCTGCAGGGAGTGGAGGTTTGTTGGATGTCGAGGTGGCAGCACCATATTGTTCAGTTTGTCAGGGTGGAGGTTTGTTGGACGTCAGGGTGGCAGCACCAGATTGTTGCAGTTTGTCAGGGTGTCGAAGGCTGCGCATTGTTCTTGAGGCACGCGTCCTTCGCTACCTGTGACGGGGCAGCCCAATCCTGCTCCTCTTTGCGGATTCGTTTCTTTCTCCAATGGTGGTGGCGCTCGCGGTTTGGTGGTCGGTGCTTGGTGAGGCATCTTCCTGCTACTCCCTGGGTGTGCCATGCTGGATCTGGCCTTGCTTCGTGGAGGGTGACGAGGAGTTCTCATCAGTGTGGCAGATGTTTTCCTTCATGGGCTTCAGTTTGGCATGTTGGTGTATTTGGTGTCGCGCATGTTCTCTGCCTCCATCGCATTGTCATCCGGTGGGAGCTTCATGCCCTTTGTATATGGTTTTCACCCGGTTTTCCCTAATTAACCGGGCAGCTCTCTTCTTCTATATGAAATGCTGGAACACCCCTATCCCTCTCGATGTGTTACTCGCGAAAAAAGATACAATGAAATCTACAGAACTAGCCCGTACATCTTTGTTAACAGCATATGATTAGATACAGATTGGAATCAACTTCTTAATCAAGTATCAGTCAAACTGGCCTATTCCCATAGTACAAAAGCTACTAAACTTAATCCAATCTCATTTTGGGGCCTTCAAGCATCCGAAATAACACCACGGTAATTGACAATGAAGAAATAATAATAGATACCACACCCTCCTAACTTTTCAACGAGTATTTTGACAGGCAGACAGATAATAAAGATCTAAAGTTGGGAAAATCACCAGGGAACCATGGCATGTGTGATTAGTGATGCATAAATGCTTATGGAAGACGATAATATAATCATATAAATAAGCAATCCAGAGAAGAATAGAAGAGCATTACTATGCATTCACGCCATAGTATTTTCGACATGATTTTTTAAATAGGCCTATTAAAATGAAATGAGGGAGTACGTCACACTCACACACATGTTAAGTCAAAACAAAACATGGTACCAAAGCTATAGCCATACATAGGTGAGATATATGTTACCTGTCGAAATAAGGGGGCTTCCTGATTCTCTTGAACCTGCATTCTGATTCCAGCATCACACGGCAATCCCAGTTGGACCAGGTCACAACAGCGAAGTTCTTGTGCTTTATTCCTTTGTCCTCTAACCATTTATCATGCATGAGCAAGGCTTCACTTAGAGGTACACCTCTGTCCACCTAGACATGTATAAACAAAAACAGTATTACTGACCAAATACACAAGTCAAACTGTTGGTCATACATTACAACACTCTCTTTAACAAGGGCAAAAGATGACTTATCAAAGTGGCACTTTTCACATTGTAGATCATAAAACTATGTGAAAATGACAGGTTTACAAAACCATATACAGTTCTCTTTTGTGACATAGGGATTTTACTTAACAGATGTTGACTTTTGACAGCTCACGCCGACATTCAAATTATAATTTATTAGAAATAAAAATAGAAGGTAAACTATGAACATCATCGGCTAACCTTATGCTTGCTAAGAAAGCTAATGTATTGTGACCAAAAGGTAATGTGCTAAGTTTCTCTCACAGAAGGGTAACTACGCTTCTATACAGTCCGTTTATCAGTGTCTAGTCAACTAATGCCCACATCTCACCATGAACACGCAGGCCAAGTGCCTAGTTATTTTCCCAACATCTGCATCAATGTTTTTTTTTCGAAAAAACGCATGAGAGCGTGCGTTTCATTTCATTGAAAAGAGAGAGTTGTAGTTACATTCCTCCTAGGAGGCGAATACAGTTTTTGAATTAATGGACATCCCATGTCTGGGGGTAATGGCTCTGAGCCCCAGTGCGCCCGCGCTTGCCCAAAGGGAGGCCTCTTCCTTGATCTTCGTTAGCAGGGCGTTCACCGATGGGCGCGCTCCGTTGAAGACGCAGTCATTGCGGTGCTTCCATATCATCCAGGGGACGAGGAGGGTCATGGTACCCAGGCCCTTGCGCATGGGCGTTGAGGCGGATTGTCGTGCCGATTGCCACCACTCCAGGAGTGAGGGCTCTTTGTCTGTCGGGGTACACGGGATCCGTAGCCAGCACAGTGTCTCGTGCCAGGTCTGCCGGGCGAAGGGGCATGCGAGGATGAGGTGGTGCATGGTTTCAGGTGCCTGGTCGCAGAGGGGGCATCGTGCGGGGTGTTGCAGCCCGCGGCAAGCAAGGCGGTCTGCAGTCCAACA